ATGACTGAGAAATCTTATCCTGCTTCTTGCACTTCCATGAAATAAAAGAGTTCCCGAACTGAACACACCAACCTGTAATAGATCGTCTGGTGTCTATACACCCTGCATAGTCCGAATCTGAGTAGGCTCTTAGAGTGTCCAAACTTGTGGAGGGAAAATACATACCAACTTCTCATGTTCCCTGCAAGTATCGAAGTATGCAGTACACAACTGCTAAGTGATCAACCCTGGGATCACCCATAAATTGGCTCACCACTTGAACAGCATAAGCAATGTCTGGGCGAGTGGCTGATAAGTAGATTAAACTCCCAACCATACTCCGATACTGTGAACCATCTTTAACTCTCTCTCCCGAGTCCCTGCTCAATTTCAGATTGCATTCCATCGGAGTATTAACCGGTTTGCAGTCTTCCATGTTATGATCACTGAGCAAATCACTAATATACTTCCTCTGACTAAGTAGTATACCACCCTTAGTACGAGAAACCTCCAGCCCGAGGAAGTAGGATAAATCTCCCAAATCTTTTATTCGAAAAGCCTTCTGCAACCCTTCTTTCAAGTGTTGAATGCCATCCAAATCTGATCCCGTGATGATCATGTCATCTACATAAAGTAGAAGAAGAACAATACCCTTCGGAGTGGTCTTGACAAATAGAGATGGGTCGTTCAAACTCTGGCTGCAGCCAAGTTCTAGAAGAGTAGCCTGAAAAGTTTCAAACCAGACCCGAGGGGCCTGCTTTAACCCGTATAGTGATCTGTTCAGCTTGCATACCTGGCCAGGAGTCCTACGTTATAACTGGGTGGCTTCTCCATGTATATAACTTCATCTAAATCGCCGTGGAGGAAAGCATTCTTCACATCGAGTTGAGCAAGTGGCCAGTGCTTCATAGATGCTACTGCTAGGAGAGTTCGGACAGTAGACATACGAGCCACATGAGCAAAGGTCTCAGTGTAGTCCACCCCGTGCTCCTGGGTGTAGCCTAGGGCCACTACCCGGGCCTTATGTCGCTCAATGGAACCATCCGGAAACATTTTAATGGTGTACACCCACTTACTGCCAATCGTCGGGGTATTAGGAGGACAGTCAACTACGGTCCATGTATTGTTTGTATGATGAGCATCAAATTCACTCCCCATCGCCTCCTCCCAGACAGGATCCCCCTGAGCATCTTTATATCGGGTAGGAACCACCTGAGAAGTCACTCCATAGGCCATGTAGTCATCAAAATGGGCTGGTGGAATACCTTTTGTACTGCGGACAGATCGGCGAAGAAGAGGACTAGCTGGGGTCGAGTCCATAGGCGCTGAAGTAGAAGCTGTGGCCGAGGATGAAGTTACTGCCGAGGGTGAATTTGCGGCCGAAGGTGAGGAAGTGGCCGAGGAAGAAGTTGGCGAAGCACTAGAAGAGGCCGAGGACGTGCTGCTGGGCGTCGCGGAAGGCGAGTGCAAATGCACGTGGCTGGGGGAGTCTGGATCTTCGGGGGGCTGCCAAGGATCAATATCAACTGGAGGCGCATCATCGGGTGAGAACATGGGCAGAAAATCAGTGGGAGGAAAAATAGACTCGGGATCAGAGGTAGGTTCAAAAAACCGGAGATGTTAAATAAACACAACAGTGCTAGCGACACGAATACGTTGGGATTTAGGATCATAGCACATGTAACCTTTATGAACTTCACTATACCCCATGAAAGCACATTTGGCAGTTTTGGAGCTTAACTTAATACGTTCACGACGAGACATCAAAACAAAGCACAGACAACCGAAAACACGAAGACGAGAGTAGTCAGGCGTACGAGAATAGAGTTTAAAAAAAGGACTCTCATTGCCGAGTACAGGGGTGAGTTGATAATTGATCAACCGAACAGCAGTAACTACGGCCTCTGGACAGAAACGCCCAGGAACAGAAGATGCCAATAACAGGGCTCGAGTAAGCTCAACTACATGGCGATTTTTTCTTTCAACTAGCCCATTTTGTTGAGAAACCCCGGGGCACGATTTTTTACTTAGAATTCCACGAGAACGGTACACCTCACGCAAAGGAATAGAACTGAATTCCCCACCAGGATCGGAGCGAATGATTTTAACAGGTTTGCCAAACTGAGTCTGAACCATGTTAAGAAATTCAATTGCAACAGATTTGAGATCAGATTTCAATCGAAGTAGATAAATCCAGGTGTACCGGGTTGCATGGTCAATAAAAAGAGCAAAATACCGAAAGCCATGTCGAGAAAGAATAGGGGCAGGTCCCCAAAGATCAGTATGTATCACATAAAATGGTTCGGTAATGACAGTAGTGCTGGAAGGATAGGAAATACTGGCAGTTTTAGCTTCAACACAGCTGGTACAGGAATGAATTTCAGGAATGCTGACATGAGTTTTTCCAAGTCATGACTTTTGAAACATAAGAGAAAGACGAGCTGAGTGAGGATGACCTAGGCGAGCATGCCACAGATCCCACATCTTATTCGACGAACTTGAAACAGCTAAACAAGAACTAGACAAAGGACTACTGACAGGCCTAACGACAGAAGAAATTGAGTGCCCATGTAGCTCGTCCAGATGAAAGAGACGCCCCTGCTTACTCCCCCTTCCGATCAGACTCCCCGTCCTCGAATCCTGTATAACACAACCAGACGGGGCAAATGACACAGTACAACCTTGTTCAGTAAGCTGACCAACGAAAACCAGATTAGGTACAAGCTTAGGCACATGAAGAGTATTCCGTAAGACCAAATTTTTATCCATAACATTACCCATACCAGTGACCTTCAATTTAGACCCATTCGCCACAGTCAAATCAATGTTTTGAACAGGAGTAACATCTTTTAAAGCTGTAGTATCATGGGTCATATGGTTATAGCAAGCGGAATCAAGAAGCCAAGGTGATCGACTCTTACCTGTACCTTGCAAGGTCGCAAAGGCAGCACTAATGGCTGCACTCACAATTTGCTCGACGGTTTTCACAGAGACCCCGCCACCAGAACCATTCCCAGCTGCATTGCCATTGTCTCCAGCGGCTGTCCGAATGCTGCTCGCTTCCCCCGATGTGATGCCACGTCCACCTGCAGCAGCCCAGCGTGCATTATCACCAGCGGAAGGGCGCCAGCGAGAGTCGGCCGCAGAAAATGCACCATAGGCAGCCTTTTCACCATACCCAGATCGCGGTGCCATAGAATCCGACCCGCCTGTTGGCCTCCCTCTCGCGCACCTCCTTCGCGAGATTCATTTCGCTCCTTTGCGCAGTAGTCGAGTATTATGTGCCCCATTCGCTTGCAGTATACGCAAAAATTGCGTCGGCGACAATGCTTTTGCAAATGACCCTTCTCCCGGCAGTGGTGACATACTAAATCCGAGATTGGGATCTGACGCTGGAATTGAGGTCGGTCTATTGCATACGCAGATGAATCACGGCCTGTTCTAGAGTTGGTTTGGCCCGCAGCAACAGCGACCAGCGCCTCCCCTTCTCCAGGACGCATATCCATGGCTGCTTGGGTCCTCAGGCGGGTTCCTTCTCTAACTAGGGTACCCAACACTCCATCAAACTGCAGGATGTCACGGTTCAGCAAATTGGCACGCACGGACTCGAATTCCGGACGTAGTTTCATGAGAAAATCCAGGAGTCTGGTTTGCATCCGTTCGGCTATAGCATCTTCAGTGGGAACGTTGTGTGGACGAAAAGCAGCATGGAGGAGGTCTTGCTCCATCCAGATTTCTTGGGCGGCATTGAAGTATTCTGAAACTGATCGATCTCCCTGTTCCAGCCGCGTCAAAGCAAGCTGTACCTCAAACTGACGTGCGGCATTCACGGTAGAGTACATAACGGAGAGATGACGCCACATACGATTTGTTGTCAGATATAAATGGAGACTGAGACAAGTGGAAAGATCTACCGAGCCCAGGAGCCACGATCGGACGCGTGCGTCGTTCTGATTCCAGGTGCGGACCTCTTGAGAAGTGGCCGCTCCCTCTGGTTTTGGTTGCGTCCCATCGAGTATGCCTAGCAGATCTTTCCCTTCGACGAACACCCGGAATTGAAACTCCCAGAGTGTATAGTTGGTTGAATTCAGACGAACGGCAGGCCGATCAGAATCGATTATCGGAAGGTCTGATACCATGTTGATTTATCTAACAGCACGGAAATAGTAAACGGACAATGAACGCGGATTTACGTGGTATCCCTGGATATCCAGGACTAATCCACGGAAGAGCGGTAGAACCCTCTTCGGCTACTGTTCTTACTGATTTGGTTTGATGATCAACGTACAATACAAAACACACTCATAAAGACCCTAATGGCCGAACCCTAGCACCACGGGAACAGAGAGACTCGACGTGGGCTAGTGCAGGTTGCATGGGCCGAGTACAGCTGCTAAAACTATTGGGCCATTCACTTACATACTAATAAAGTATGTAAATGACAAATGGCAGAATATATATTTAACAACCATGCCCATAACTAGTAAGATAGGAAGCCCATAAACTATATAGAAAACCAAATCACAACAATTTCTAAAGTATGATAATTACTTTCGTTCCGTGCAAATCTACCACAAATACGAGAGACATTAAGAACAAGTCACGGGAGGGAACGGCCATGATCGGTGGAACAAATAATAACGGGGACGGCCATGATTGGTGGAACCTAATGTAAAGACTTCCCCGTGGAACGAACCAATACCATTGAATTTACCTCTTTAACAAATCAATTAAACTCCAATCAAATGCATGTTTGATTATATATTCAAAAATGCAAGTCTCTTAATCAATATATCGTTGTCATCCCTCCAATCAAATCGGATTAATTAATGAAACTCCAAGTTAATTACTAATAGTCATTCACCTAACCGAGGGCTTCCTGTCAATTAACATATAAACAAAACATAAGTAGTGGGTAATCGAGGTATCTCTCTTGTTTGACTCACGAGCTAGCCTGTCGATAAATATATATATAAACCAAGTTGCAATATATATCTCCATTGAAAGAAAGAGAAGACTTCGAGATGGTTGGTGCCTTTTATTGCAATATATAACAATAGGGAAGTATAACGAATGGGTTAATTAAGCACTGGAGATTATAGAGATACCAATTAGAATGGAGGGCATCCGTACTATTAATCGTTCTCTACTTATTGTATTCTACACCGCCTTTTTGCTCTTCATCGTCGTCGGCGTCGGCGTCTGCATTTCATCCCCACCGGCACCAACCAATACTGCTTCACTACCCAGTAAGTGTATATATATTGGTCAATCTTTCTATGGTATATTGTGGCATGTGAAATGGTTTCAGTGTTCAAAATTCCGACCAACAAAGGAATCGGTGGGCGTTTTGGTTTGCAGGGGAAAGTGGGAGGAAGATGTTGGTGAGGGGAATCGGTAGGGAGATGAAGATTGGCGTAAGGGGGAGTAGTTCAGGTTCCGGCGGCCATGGTCACCACTAGCAGACATTTGTTGGACTCTCTCTCTCTCTCTCTCTCTCTCTCTCTCTCTCTCATCAAAATTAAATCTGCTTCAGCTTTTATTGATAGAAAGTAATAGATACATCGTCAATTTTAAGCTGATCAATCATATTCGATGGTGGCCTATCAAACAAGCATCTGCTTCGTCCCATCAAGTCCTCGTATGTGCCATAATTAATGTGCACATCTCCGTTTGCTTTCCTGCTAGCATGCAAGATCACTCCTGCACCCGTCTCAGCCAAAAGTCTTCGATAATATGTATCACATATTTAGATTATTTTCTCCATTTTAATTTATTGTACGAGAAAAGTATGCAACTCATTTTAGTAATTTACACATATGTTAATTTTTTCTGTTATTATTTTATTATTTCCCCCTTATACTCAGGAGATGTAACGCAAATGAAGAGAATAACTGAATCTCTTTAATTTAGTAGGCGTAGCTCTAGGAAGCCTTCTAGGGCAAAAAGAGGTAGGCGGGATGATCATAGGCCCTATGGACCTGCTGGGCCAATCAGGTCCACCGAACTTGAAATGGGAAATAGGGCTTCCTAACCAACTTGGGCTCAAATCTGAGCTTGCATCAGTCAATTGCCACGACTCTGGGTGGTGGATGAGTAGGTCTGTAAATGAGTTGAGTAGTTCACGAGTTACTTAATGTTGAGTTCTATAAAATTTATTAGAAACTTGATTTATTTACTAGCGACCTGCATTTAAGATAAACCTTGTTTAGTTGCGAGGCTCGTAAGTCAGCTCGATTTGGTGGTTTATTGAACTCAATTCGTGAGCTGATTCGTTTTGAGTTCACAAGTTATCTTAACATTTTCGCTAGCTAGTACTAGCCTATGAGCCAATTGATATGTATATTATGAGTTATTTTTAATAATTTATAGGTTTGGTAAATTATATCACCCCATATTTTATAACTCTGCGACTGCCAGAGCAGGGCTGATAGTGTCACCAACGAGAACCTGACATTCTAACTAGTTGAGAGCCTATAGAGCATACCACAACCACAAAGCATGTCACAAGTTTATAAACCATGTCACACGTTTTTCAAAGCAGACCATAACTTTCATAACGGTAGACCTGTTTGTAAATTTTAAAAAGTTTAGATACCCAAATGTAAGGAAATTTTTTTCAGGTACTAAAATATAGTTTTTCATCAAATTTTCTTAGTACTCGAATGTAAAAAAATAATTGTAGGTACTAAATATTAATACCTATTAAGTTTAGGTACCAAAATTATAATTTGCAAATGAAACATAGAAATCAATGTAAATGAAAGGGGGAGGAGAAGGGAAGGGTGAATGGATAAATACTATAATACCTTTATAATAAGTGTTAGTATGGTGCTTAGCACCCTATTCACTCCCTATTTTCAATGGATTTGTAGATTGAATTAAGAATTGCTACCACTATCAATAAGCCTTCTCTTAATTTAAGTACCCACTAACTCACATCTCTACCCCATTAACCAGCATCCTAATTAACAACCTAATTTAATTAATTTACTTAAAAGCACAAACATTTTCCACTGTTCATAAAGAAAAATAATCTATTTTTTCTTCACGGGTACTGTTCACAATAAGGTATTATTCCATATACACAATTTTACTATAATCCCTATTTGTTCTCACTTGATTATATCGTGTAAAAGGCTGTAATTTTATAACCAATCCTCTTTTTTTCATTGACTCTATGCAAACAGAGGCACACACTTTATTTTCCCTTATTCTTTGCTTAATTTAGAAGAGAGGGGACCAATTGTAACCAATAGAACTTACAGATACATTGGTTCATCAATTCTACGATAAGTCTAAAACTCATATGAAATTCTACGAAAAGTTTTTTTTTTCTCTACATTTAACTTAACTTTATACAAACATTTCGTAGATCGGTTATTAAATATAGAGGGGTAACAAATTGTAACGAATAGAACTTACACATACATGCCTACTTTATGGTTAATCAATTCTACGATAAGTCTAAAACTCATATGAAATTCTACGATAATTTTTTCTTTACTTTCAACTTAACATTATACAAACAAATATTTCGTACAGAGAACTCATATGAAATTCTACAATTAGTTTTTTCTTTACATTCAACTTAACATTATACAAACAAACATATCGTAGATAGGTCTAATCATACGTTACTTTCTAAAATGTGATTTTATCATTAGACCACACATTAAGATTTATGTAATAATGGTCTATAATATTTCCTTATTTTCTACATCCAATTTTACCATGAGCTCTTGATTAGTTAACTTTGACATAACAATTTAATCATATGTTACTTTCGTCTTACTTTCTAAAATTTAGACCACACATTATGAAATATTTATGTAATAACATTTTATAACAGTTATACAAATTAAAAATCAATAATATTACTTATTATAACTTGATTTTATTATTAGACCACACATTATGAAAATTTTATGTAATAACTATCTGCATAAAATTTATGTAGAAATAGTTATTTATTGTGTATCACTTCAAATGGGTTACGTAAATTATTCTTAATGATTAAGATGTCAAGTGAATCTTACATATGTATCTTATCTGAATAATTTTTTGAATAATTTTATTTATACTAAATCATTAGTTTAGAGCGCCGGTCAAAAAACTAGTTGATAATTAAATTACATAAGTTGGAAGATTGCACTTTATGCATATGATCTATAAGACTTTGAACAGTGAGCAAATATGTATCATTTGTAATGTAAATGAAAAATTATGTATCATAAATTGCTCATTTACTAATTACTATGAAATAACCTGATATGAGCTACAAATAAATAATGATACCAACATAGTATATATATAAACATGAGCTAAGTTTTTTTATTTATTTTATAATAAACATAAACTATGTTAATGATGAAAAATTATCTATTTTTTATCTTAACATGTATCATACATGACATATAAATATTACAGAATTTAAATGACTTGAACTCGAAACAAACTCGTAATCTTATCGATGAGTCAAGCTCATCTAGAACTCATAAGCTCATTAATGAATGAACTAATTTACAATTCTGCTTACGGCGATTTGCCACACTCAGATGTATGCTAAGGTCACTTTTGATTTAGTGGATAACGCTGGCAACATTTGTGTCCAGAGTCTTTTTTTTTTTTTTTGACAAAAGATAATCTGTATTGATTAAAAATTAGATAATTACATCCTGGATTCCAGCCAGGCCTGATAATAAAAGAAACGACTCATGGTCGGGTACAAGGAGAGGTCTTTCCTAGCCACCAGATGGGCTACCCTATTACTACGCCGACCTATAAACCGAATCCTAAACTCAGGATGGGTGTGAAAATAATGCACAACCTCTTCCCGAATAACACCCACCCGATTATCTCTAACGCCCCCTTGACTGATTTTATCAATGATCACCTTCGCATCACCCTCAAACTGAACACTGGTCAAGTTATTCGCCAGACACCACAAAACTGCCTCCCTAAGAACAATAAGCTCCACTGTCATAGGGTCCTCGAGGAAATGCAACTGGACGCCCTTAACCATAAGCACATTCCTAGTAGGGGATAACAAGACTAGCCCTCCAGCTGAATGTGATCCAGGTCGAATCGCCCCATCCCACATACAAATGACCCGCTCAGTCTCCTCCAACCCAAGATGAACCCCCCTAGGGACCGAGGGCCGGAGAGCCTTCTCCACTGGAAGCCTTACCCATTCCTCATATTGCTGGTGGAACTGACGCATCAAGGCTGGGAATCCAAACTGTTTGCCTTCAAAGACCACCCAGTTGCGAGACCGCCAAATCCGCCAAAGGATAGCAACCACCGCCATGAACAACGAGGGTTGGTGGATTAAAGCCATCAGCTTTTTTAGAAATAACGGGAACGTTTGACGAGGCAACCCCTCCCCTAGATACTCCAGTCCCAAATAGTCCCACAGAGCCCTCGCCACCGGGCAGTAAAGAAATAGATGCTCCATCGTTTCCGGACCCTCCCAGCAAACTGGACATCTAGGGAGAACCGGGACACGTTTTCCAATAAGGGCCTCAGTAGTGGGCAATATCCTATTGAGAATCTGCCAGACAAAAACCTTAAGCTTAGGGGGGGATATTCGCATCCCACAAACGAATCCAACTGGCCTTATCCATCCAATTGACCGTAGCCTTCCAGCACCCTTGTCTCTTATCCATAGTAACCGCCAGATGGTAGGCCGATTTCACCGAGAACATCCCATCAGGCGTGTCATGCCAAATGAGCCTATCCTCCACATTCCGGCGCGGTAGAGGGAGCACTTGAATGGCCTGACAAGTCTGAGGATCAAACCACTGACTTAGCTTTTGGACATCCCAACGTCCCCCCCGCCCCTGACAAATCACCTCCGCAACAGGAGGACCCTCCTCCGCAGGAAGTACCACAGGATTATACACCGGGGGATCAAGCTGGAGTTTGGGAACCCAATTGGAATGCAGTAAAGAAGCAGATATTTGCCATTTTAAACCCTTCTCTCATAACTGTCTACCAAACAGTATACTCTGCCATCCACAAGAAGGGCGAGATCGGGCCGTCGCTAATAAAAATGTCCCATTCGAGAAGTATTTGCCTTTATAGACCTGAGCGAGAAGGGACTGGGGTTCCGAAAGGATGCGCCAGCCAATTTTAGCAAGGAGCTCCTGATTAAATTGTTCAAACCGCCTGAACCCCAATCCCCATCATGCTTACTTCGGCACATATTACGCCAAGACATCCACCGAACCCGGGGATGACCCTCAGCATCCCCCCACCAGAAACGCGCCACATGCTTATCCAAGAGACGACAAAGAGAGACAGGCAGCTTGAAACAGGACATCACATGCAGTGGCAGAGCCAAGGCAATTGACTTAATCAGAGTTTCCTTCGTTGCCCAAGATAACAACCTTTGTTTCCACCCTTGGAGACGCTCTAACAGCTTCTCCTCCAAGAACCGGAAAGTCGCCATCTTAGAGCGAGCGAACAGCGTGGGCAAGCCCAGATATTTATCATGGACACCCACCGCCCCCACCCCAAGAACTGCTGCCAAAAACTACTGGTCCTCTCGCACAATATTCTTACTGAAGCAGACTGCTGATTTATCCAAATTCACCTTCTGGCCGCTCAGCTCCTCATACTCATTCAGGACCACGATCAGGTTCTCACATTCCTGGAGGGTTCCCCGCAGGAATAAGTACGAATCATCCGCAAAAAATAAGTGCGAGATCCTGGGAGCCCGAGGAGCCACCTTTACACCCTCCAGCCTCTTCTCTATAATAGCCTTGCGTAGCAGAGCCGAGAAACCCTCTGTACAAATCACAAAGAGGAGAGGGGAAAGGGGATCGCCTTGCCACAGCCCTCTGGTAGGGGAAAAGAAACCCGAAGGAGCCCCATTCATAAGAACTAAAAAAGATGAGGATCGAAGACACTCATGAATCCATCCTTGCCAGACGGAATTAAAACCCATCTTGTCTAAAACTGCGAGAAGAAAGGGCCATTCGACCCTGTCATAGGCCTTTTCCATGTCAACCTTAAGAGCCATGTACCCTTTCTTACCACGCGTTTTAATTTTCAAGTAGTGCATCAATTCGTGCCCTAGAAGGATATTATCCACAATTTGACGTTCCCGAATGAACGCATTTTGACCATCTGAGATGACTTGGGGCAGGATGCAGGCCAACCTCTCTGCCATGATCTTAGTGACAATTTTATAGACAAATTGGCATAAGCTAATCGGCCGTAAATGCCTCATAGTTTCCACACTCTCCACCTTGGGGATCAACGTGAGCCAGGTATGGTTGAAGCCCCGCAGCATCTTACCCGTATCAAAGAACGAACAGACTGCATCGATCACCGAGTTACCCACGACATCCCAAAAGGCTTTGAAAAACTTCCCCGTGAATCCATCTGATCCAGGGGCCTGCTTTGACCCCATGAAAAGACCGTTTTACGTACCTCACAGGGAAGCACTTCGGCCGTTAGGGTAGCGTTCATGGCTGGAGTAACAGACTGGGCAATCGGCAACGAGGCCACCCGCTCAGCCATGTTCGCAACTTGATTCTTAGAGGTAAAGAGATGTTGATAAAAGGATGTCGCCACCCCAGCTTTCCCAGTTTCATCTGTGATCCACACCCCATCATCATTCCGGAGACCTTCCACAAAGTTTTTCCTACGCCGGGTCCTGGTCACTGTGTGAAAATAAGAAGTATTTTTGTCACCCTTTTTCAGCCAGTGAACCCTGGATTTCTGCTGCCAATACATTTCCTCCGCCTCCCACTGCCTACTCAATTCCACTTCTAAGTCTCTGACTCGCTATGACACAACTCCTAACAAAGGCCAAGTGTAACCAATGAAAGGGACTGCAGTATAGTGGCTCAAGTGATAAATATCGAACCCATGGGTCTCTAGAGTTACTATTACTCAGCTTTAGTTCATTATCTAGCAAACTAGATTAAGGATTGATTAACTAAACTACTCTACTAACTAAACTAAGTAAAACTACTAATTACAGTTTGGGAACTCACTTAGGTATGATTCCCCCTAGCTCCTCAATTAGGTCCAAGTTGTAATTCCTTTTGGTTGTTTTACTGTTGATTAAACTGCGGAAGATCCGACAGTAGCTTGGAATCTCTTAAGCTGACCAAGCCCTCTCAGTCTAACTATCCGGCAGACGACTAGTCTTCACCGGGATAGAAAGCTGAAGCAATAAGCACAGAACTCCACTACTGGAATTGGATTCCAGTACAAAGCAGTAAACTGGCTAACTCTCGTATAGCCAATCTCCTACTACCGAATGATGAGGCTCTAACAACCTAATCAGATTCTATCTATCTCAGGTTGCAGCAGAAATCAGGAAAAGTTGATCAGACTTCAATTGACTCAATAAACATGCATCATTCGATTATAATCAAACAATATAGCATCCAAAACTTCATACAAGAAAGATCCTAACTCATGGAACTAGGGTTCCTCAAAACCTAAGTGAAGGGAAGTTACTCCATAGAGAAGAGAGAGACTGCAGAAATCTGATCTAGATCTTCAATCTCCATCTCCAAGCTTGATTCCCGAGCTCCAATGCATAGACCAGGAAACCGGATCGTACCGGACGGTTCAACCGGAAATTGGACCAAAAGCGGTACGGTAGGCTGATTGTGCTGGTTTTACCGTGCCGGCCGGTTTTTTCGGTTTGACCGGTTGAACCGGTTGAACTGGCCGGTACGATCCGGTTTCCTGGTCTATGATTCAGCTTCATTTCTACGTATTCTCGTCCAATATGTGGAAAATAATTAAAAAAGAATATTATTTTGCTATTTTTCTATGTTGAAAATGGGCCACCGTGGTTGTATAATGCTCTATTTGGTTCTTTTTTTGATGGATTATATTTTTTATACTATCGCATTTCATTTCTCTATCAATAGTGAAAAACGGTATTTACCGGTACAAAACGGTTGAACCACGGTCGTACCACAAAATACCATACCAGAAAGGAATCCGGTATGATGTCCGGTACGGTTTCCTTTACCATGCTCCAATGGCGAAGAAATCCTCCAAAATAGCTCCAAGAATGTTCCCAAGTCGCTCTCTCTCTCTAGGGTTCGTCCCTTGGGTGTTTGGAATCCAAAACCCAGCTCTCCCTCTCTCCTTTTGTTGAAAATCGGGTTTTAACCAGCAATTCCCGACTCACACGGCCAGGCCACACGACCGTGTGGCTTTCCCAGCTGCCCGTGTGAAGGCTCGGTGATTTCCACACGGCCACATGGCCAGGTTACACGGCCGTGTGGGTTGTGCCCGTGTGGCTTGCTCAGCCTCTGTTTAATGCTTCGTTTCTCCCTCGTCCGGACTCCGAATCAGTCGCCGTTTGATCCCAGACGCTCGTAGTCTCGTACTCTTTCTTCTCCCGAATCGTCAATTGATCTCTGATTGACTTGAAACTTGCGCCTATGCTTCACTTTATGTTCTAGGACCTGAAATGTGACAAAGGAAGACAAACTAGCGTAAAATAGGCCAAAGAAGCGATAATGCAAGCTTAAATGATCAAGAAACAAAAGGGAAAACATGTGCAAATATTGAGTCATCAGTCTCGGACCGCATCTCAGTCAATTGGATGGGAAGCTTTGATCCTCTCAATTTCGCCCTGAAGAGTGTTAATGTTTCGCAAAGAATTGTTAGTCCTAGCCCGACTCCAATCATATAAGAGATGACGCAGCTTCTTGAGGCGCTCCCATAGACAAAACATAGGAGTACCCTGAACCTCCGCTTTCCATACATAATTAACCATTTCTCTGACCTCAGGATTTTCCACCCAACGGGCGTCAAATCTGAAAAGAGGACGGCAACACCTGGCATAGGGTTTATCCGATAGAAGAAGAGCCCGATGATCAGAACCCTAATCAGTAAAATGCTTGACCAAAGTTTCCGGGAATCGATCCATCCAGGCTTGGGAGCAGAGGGCCCTATCCAGACGTTCACGGATACAGGCTTCTCCCATCCTCCTATTAGTCCAGGTGAACTGGTCCCCAAGGAACCCTGGATCATGGAGACCCAGCTCTTGAATAAAAACCCGCAGGCTAATAGCTTGAGAAACGTTCCAAGGGTTACCACCATCTTTTCACTTCCTTGGAGGGTAGTATTAAAATCACCAATAATAACATAGGGAAGGTGGAAGGTAGAGCAGAGCTCTTGAAGCTGAGCCAACTGGGAAGCTCTAATTGTGGCATTACAACTAATATAAGCAGAAACCACAATATAAGAAAGATCCATTTCATTGATTTGGGAACAAATACAAAAATTGGAATGATAAAACACCGAAGCATCGACTCCGGGGGACCAACCTAAAACTAACCCACCAGATGCATCAATCTCATCCACAAAATAACAACTGGAAAGAGCAAAACCTAAGCCCCGCATACGTCGGGAGACAACACGCCGGCTCGATCGAGTTTCCAAGAAAAACACGAGATCCGGTTTTTTAGAGCGAACCAAACTAAGAGCAGATTGGAATGTGAGGGATGGTCCAATTCCTCTCACATTCCAGGCCAACATTTTCATTTATCGGACTGGGGCCATTTTGGGCTGGCTTCCTCCACCTGTTCCAGATTTTCAGCAACTTCAACAAATTGTTTCTTTGGCGACGGAGCGTCCACCATAGCGCCCTCAACCGCTTCCAAAGGGCGCTTTCGCGTCCCAATATCTGGGTTCATTAAATTCGACCCATATTCATCCAGCTTAGAGTCAGCCTCTTGAATCATGATCTGTTCATTTCGAGTCGGACTACCATTGTTCATTCGCTCCTGCAGGATGGTTTGAGCCCCAGAATTAATGGTAAGTCCAGCTTCAAACGCGGCCACAACCTGGCTAACATGCCCCCTTGTGGTATTATTTAGTTCTTTCGGGTGAGCGGGAAGCCTCTTTTTAATTTAAAAGCATTGGACTTCCTCCTCAGAATCTGAGTCTGCCGAAACAAGGGCCTTCACTGCTTCAGCAATAGGGACCGAGGCCAGGGCCTGCCCATCCAAGCCCGAACATCCCACGGGCTTAGCCTGCTCTGGCCCAGCTTTGCTCCCCCTCTTCCAGTCGCCTTTACGCTTGGAGGATTCCCCAACAGTAGCATGGGCTTTCCGCCTACTCCCTTTCTTCACGGGATGGGCCAGCTTTTGCAAATGGTGACCTGGGCGCTGCAAAGGAAGGCCCGCACCAATTTCCTTATTAAGCCCACTGTCCGCCGCTGGACGGCTTCCCTGGCCCGCATCCAATTCCCCCACAGCCAGATGCTGCACAGGATGGGCCTCGGCTACCTCCTGATTGGGCCTACAATCAATTGTTGGGCATAGCACCTGGCCAGACGCCTTTTCCCCCACTGGGTTCTGTTGAAGCCCAGCATGTGGTCTTTCTTTTTGGAAGGGACTAATGGCCCTATCAATATTCAAGGCATCATCCTCATCGTCAGTCTCGAAGATGAGACGACGACGCCGAGCCTGAGCGAAAACGCCAGTAGCGCAGCCGTGTGTCTCCGGTGGACCAGAGGTATGATCGTCAGAGAGATTGCGATCGACAACCAAATCCCCCTCCTGTAACTTGCCTTGGCGGTTCAATCTTCTTCCCCCAATCTGGATCCGTGCTGGTTTGTTAATGGCAAAACCTCTCGGGCTTGCCTTCTTGATTGGGATTTTCCTCCCATCATGGATCCCGGTCGGGTTATTTGAAGGACTGGCTTCTTCCCTAACCAACTGAGAACTGATCGCAGCTTTCTTCACAGCCCCCTGCCGCTCTGCCTCACGGCCACGAACATATGTACGATCATTATTCGCTGGACCATTGACCTGGCGATTGACCCAGACCGTTTGCCGAGGGCCCCTGTTTCTCATGGATTAGTCCTCTTCCTCATAGATCTTCCGACCAAGCTTTTTTGTCGACATATGTGGGCCGAAGCGCTCCTTCCTATTGGGCGGGGCAAAAGTACAGTCACGTCGGGCATGCCCCACTCGACCGCAGTGATAACAGAAGCTAGGGAGATACTCATATTTCAAGTTCACCCAAAAACAGCCAGTATCGTCGCTAGTTGCCATTAGTCTCACATGGGTCAACGACAGAATATATCTCATGTAGGTAGAGGTACACTTACACAAAGGCTCAAGATATGCACCCATCAATAATTAAATCCGAACTCTTCATAAAAAAATCCAGATCAAAGAGTGGAGAATTAAATGTCTTTTTATTTTCTCTTGTTTTCTTAATTGACTCATATCTTCTTTGTTTTAACTCGAATTTCAATTTTTTTTTTGCACAGATGGAACGAGTTCGTTGTGCTCAACAAAATGAAATCCATTTTTAATATTTTTTTAGAAAAAGAAATTCCGGGTCTCTCGGTACCAACTGCATACCGTATGGTATCTTCTTCGTTTTTAATTCTTTTTGGGTTATACGTATAATATGCCCTTCTACTATGACGTTTTATCAACATGCCCTTCTACTATTTTTTACATCAAACATGACCCTGTACTTTGTAAAAAATGATCAAACATGCCCTTTTGTTTAAATTTTCTTCCAAAAACCATTAACCAAGGTCGAACTTTTGTTTGAACGGCACAAATGTCTAAAATATCCCTAATAATTTCACTTTAGATTTTTTTGTTCTTTTGTATAGCCAAATAATTCAAATAATTTCACTTTGAAGAGACCAAGAGAAATAAAACAGGAGACCAAACTGACACTTTCGCTCCCATTTGCCGATGTCGGGTCGTCTAAATCTCGGTTCAACCATGATTGACGATTTATTCAATGGAAATTTTAACAAAAGGGCATGTTTGATAACTTTTTCAAAGTACAGGGGCATGTTTGATAAAACGTCATAGTAGAGGTGCATATTATACCTATTACCCATTCTTTTTTGAAAATTTTTGCACAGAAGGAACGAGTTCATTATGATCTATTGGATCTAAAAATTTATGGGAGAACAAAATACAAGACAAAAAAATACCACACAATACCACCCTGGTACCGGGTGGTATCTTGTGGTACACAATGTTAAAAGTCGTAAATGACAGTTAATATACTTCTACTATCATGTATTTAACCATCCTACAGTCTTGGTTTGTTTCATACCACCATGGTACGCTTTTCAGACCATAGGTATGCTCTTATTTCAATACCAGTCAATACCATATGGTATAGACTGGTAAAAATTGACTCAATTTTTTTTCCCAAAATTATATAAAGTGGATATCATTTTGAAAAGCACAATTAATATGATCTAACTGTGCAAAAAATTAAATTTCGACTTAAAACGAGTGAGAAATTGTTTGTTAAAAATTAAAGGCTTTTCAGTAGAGAGAATGGACACTGATGTGACGGATTCTGATTGGGTTTTGCATAGTTATTGACCACAAGATTATTGACTGGATCCGCTCTCCTAAACAACATAGACAAATCATAGGTAACAGCTTAGTTTGGCCCTGCTGTAGCTTTTGCAGAAGCAGCTTCTGGCTAGAGCTTTTAGATAAGTACTTTTAAAAAAAAGCAGTTGAGAGTTTGGCTGTAAAACTATTAGAAGTGCTTTTTAATATAAGAGGTTGTGTAAAATGACTATAAAGGACTTATAATATAAAATATGAATAAAAATTCTAAACAATAAAAAGTTGTCAAAATGGATCTTGTTAGATTTATTTTATATTAAATAATATGATTTTATAATTTGTTTTATTTTTAAAATGATATAAATGAAGCAAAATTATATTTTCTGAAATAAAATTAAAATATGGTAAGAATAATCTTATATTTTCAAAACACATTTTCACAGAAGCTCCAAATCGGAGCTTCTGCTTTTATGTTATACAAAAGCGCTTTTCGGCTTTTCAAAAGCCGAGCTTTTACAGGTGTTTGGCCCTGTTCCAGCTTTTGAACCCGAAAAGCACTTCTAAAAGCATGGCCAAATATAGGGAACATTTATACCAGAAAAATGTTTGACAATAGACTCAAGAATATATGCAGAGGATATTTTAGGTGATTTGAACGTGAGACCTTTTTTTAGCTAAGCGCTAACTTTCCTATCTTTATAAAATTATTTTGGGTAATGTCTATTTTTTATCCAAAACTTTTTCAGATTCTTTTATATTGTCCAAACCTATTGAAATACTTAGAATTAATCAAATGTTAACTTTTAGTTAGCAATTTTGTTAGTAATATTGACTTGGCAATATGATACTGACTTGGAAGACACGCATGAAGGTCGAAATTCCAAAATTTTAGTATTTTAACTAAGAAAAGAGATATAAAATTATTAAAGATAACGTAAAAATAGCTAATATTTTGATGTATTACGAAAGATTTGGTTAATTAATAGCATTTTAATAGGTTTGGATAATATAAAAGAATCTGAAAAAAATTTGAATAAAAAATAGAAATTACCCAAATATTTTCTTTACATTTGTATGTACCAGTAATTCATCATAATCTCCTTCACTTTATCTCTAATAATTTCCAAAATTCAAATCCATCGTTAGGATGTTCAGACTTCCAACTCATTTTCAATGAGATTGACTCACTTTCTTCTCATTCTGTTGTTCAATAATTGGTGAGGTCTTTTTTTGGATTATGAGCTCTTGAAGTGAAGTGAATTACTGGACACAATAATTAGTCCGTCTGTCACCTGGAGGAAGAATGGATAACATCTCTTCTTGTTTGACTGCAGGATAGGGGGATAAGGATTATGAGTGAATGCTGCAGATTGGTTACATGGTCTGCAGAGTAGTACCTGCATCAGCTTGAACGTTTTGATGCACTTGTCTTGTTTTTAAGTTTTTATTTTGTATTTGCCTTAAAAATCCTTGTTTCTCTAATTAATAAAATTATTTCACCTTTATAATTTTTTTTTTGAATGTTAATTATATTTGCAGTATCATAACTAATAATATAGTACTACATACATGGACTAGTTGACTAAAACACCAATAGATTATGATTGTTGAAAAATCAATTCAACCAATTTGACCTGGTGTTCTATGACTATATCATTCAAATGGGAAGTCTTCATTGATTAATTCATCCAAGACTTATTAGTCATTTACCTAACCGATCAAAGACTTCCTCCTGCTCCTATTAACCTACATACATGATAATTATATAATTAATTAACATAACTGAGAGATCAAAGTACCTCTTTGTTGGACTTAGCTTGCATTCCAATATTATTCAACAATTCTAGCGTCATCACAAACTGGAAATGTACCCAACAAGAGAAGACTCGAGTTCCATCGTCGCAGTATAAATTGGTATGAGCAACTGCTAGCTAGCCATAAGTACTAAGTGCTACCATGGCCAGCCATAACAACCGTTTTGTGCTTCTATTCTTCATCCTCTTCCTCTTCTCCTTCCCAACATCTTTAGCGGTACCTGTAAACACTGCGACTGATCTACCTAGTGAGTATATATTTCCCGACATATATGTTCTGTAGTCGATACTCTTTCGTAAAGTTAGTGAAATATGTTCTCCCTCGTTGATGAACATACATCGCTAACATTTATCGTTTGTTTTCTTATTTTGTCGATTGCCTGTAAGATGATTCTTACTAATTGTTGGGAGCTTGTTTTGCAGAGGAAAATGGCAAGAAGTTGTACAGGGTAACTGGTGGGGTTAGGAAGATAAGCGTCGGAGGTCATGGCTCAAATCCTGGCGGTCACGGTCACACCCCAAGCGGCAAGAACTAGTAGCGGGTTAACATTTTGGACCGGCGAGATAGGCAGGAGATTTCAGGTCCTCTCTCTGTTAGGACTTTGATTTGTAATAAGGGTCAGCGGAAGAGAAATGACTGGCTGGTTTATACTTTATACGAAGGATTGTAAAATCGTATTGAAGACTATACTGAAAATGTTAGCAATAACATATTTTGTACAAAGACTGGCTTATACTCATGTTAAAACTCATGAGTTTTGAGCATAATAGTACGGCTATCAAATTGCACATAAAAAATAGCTATCGATGCATTTATTTTTGCTCCTTTTTCTGTCCACAATATTGGGTGGGCTAGTGGGCTAAAAATAAATCAAGCCCACAAAATCCAAAATGTGGACAAATCTAAGGGTGAGAGTAAATGATTTTTTATTATCTTAATTGTTTGTATTTCTCACAATAATCGCAGAGATAAAATAGTTAGAAATCTCTATCTAAAACCATGGTTAAAAAAGGCACGCTTAATGTTACGCTTAGGCACAAGGCAATGACAAAACGCCTCGCCTAGGGATTTCGCGCCTAATTAGATACTGGAACACGTTAATGGAGTACGACGACATATAAGTCTCTCCTAAACATTACTAGATGGAGCTAAGAAGCCAATATTAAATATCAAAATTAACATCAACTATGATATCTAGTTTCCATGCAATATTTTCAATAGCTCAAGAACTTTGTGAACTATTGAGCTATGATTCTATGAACTCGTAAGCTATATTCCTGTCATTAAGTGTTGAGTAAGTTATTAATCATTTTAACTGAAGTGAGGAAGTGTTGTAGATTATTATTTCATTCATCATGCACTGTGAATAACTATTTTCTTCCAACGCCTAGGCACGCTTAGTCAACGCCTAGGCGAGCTAGGCGCAAGGCAAAGGCTCAACGCCTGCCTTACGCTTAGCACTTTTTTGAACCTTGCCTAAAACACTCCCAAAGCAACGCTCAGTAAAGTCATTTAATTGTTTGTATTTTATTTGTTTTAGTTCAAATTTTAATTTTTTTTTTACAAATGGAACAAGTTCATTGTGATCTAAAAATTATATACAATTTTTATTATATTTCAAGAATTATTTTTGTACCCAACCATTACCACTTGTTACCATATTGCATAGAAGGAATGAGTTCAATGTGATGTATTGTGATATACAAATTTTTTGAAAAATTTCTCAGGACCAAATATATAACGCTGGTATAGGATTGCAAGTTTGCAACTGGTGTAGACAGTGTTGAAAGGTGATAAATGACGGTTAGTAGATTGCTACTATCTTGTGCACAATTATTATACACTATGATATATTCACACCGATAAGATACACTTCCATACCATCATGATATAGCAGTGATATATTCATACCTATCGCGATATAGAATGGTAATATATATCTAAATTATTTTTGTTTCAAAATATATGTGAATATTATTAAAACTTAAATTCTGACATAAAACGGAAAAAATACAACCCACTAAATTTAATTGGATAAAAAAATAACGCATAGTTACTGAATGAATCCACTTCAGATGATAACATGATTTATCTCTCTTTCTTCGATTTGGATTCCAGCAATGGAAAGTGAGTTTGATTATAACAAGTTGGCCACTAAAATATCCAATATGAGCTTACTAAGTTTCTCATTGAGCTTGTAGGGATTTTTTGGGACATAATCACAAAAATGTTATTGTGTTATAGTACACTTAGGGCTACAAATGAGTCGAGTCAAGTTTTGATCTAACTTGAGTTGGGATTGTTAATAAATGAGTTGAGCTCGGCTTGGTTATGATAACCTTGGCTTGTGTTTGATGTAGAACACATGTACCACACAAATAAAGATAAATAAACATGAGTGGTTATGGATCGGTCGTCTGGACTTGTATGTTGGGCTTGACCCGTTGCTAAGGCCTAATAGCTTAATGAGATGGACTCTAGCCCTGTTCAAATCGCCTTCAACCTTGGATGAAAAAGGTAGTGTTCATGTTGAGAAGCAAACACACAATAGAGAAGAGTAAGGAGAGACACACGTACACATGGTGTTTTGTTAAACTAGTTCGAGCCTTATTTTTCTACTTCTTGGCTCAAATGTGGTTTACCTTTTGAGATATAGTCTCCATGTTTTTATCTTACAATCTAACTCCAAGTTGAGTCCCTTTGGGTGGAACTCAGACCCTTGACAAGAGTAGAACAATATACGTCTTTCTGTCTTCCTCACAAGAACTCACGCTAAAGAGGGAAACTACAGAACCTCATAATCGCCCAAGCAATACAGACGGTGAACTCCTATCACTTGAGCACCTATTGCTAATACCAGAGTATTTGATCTTGCTTTGTGTAGGATTGCTCTGTCACATTCCATGAAACTTGTCTTGTTGCTTCCTTCTATTTCTACTTCTTTGATCTTCCTTTGATTTGAGAGATGCAACGGTCTTCTCTTGATCTTCCTTTGATTTGAGAGATAGTTTCCTGCTATTATATATTCAATTATGGAAAGTAATTATATGATTTTACCTTTGTAGAAAGGGAAAGATTTTTCCCAACAATCTCCCTCTGCTTTACTTTTCTTCAATTTTATGCATTTCATTTACAAGCATCAAGGATCCCCTTAACATGTTATCTCCATAGATTGGAGATTTTCCCCAACCATTACAGAAATTAAAGAGAACAATGCCGAAACTATTCCTGCATGTTCAAACCAAATATTTTAAAAGCAAGCAGATGGTTCTAAACATACATGAAACTAGCAGTTTTAAAGCAAACAAAAAAGTTTTAAAAGTTTAAACCCATCAAACCCCAACAGTTCTTGCAAGAGAAAGCTTTCAAAGTAAAACACTCTCTCCATCATTTAATCATTAGATACTCAATCGGAATGATCCTGATAACCATAAGGTTCAAACTGAGGATAGTTTGAATTGCTTTTGTCCACCAGGGAAGTTGGTTCATTAAGCTGTGGTGAATCTGGATTACTTCTGCCTGCCAAAGTGGCTGGCTCACTAAAGTCTGAATATGGGTCGCTCCTATCAGCTAGGGAGGCTGGCTCACTGTCTTCTTTAGTCACTATCGCTGTTTAGGCAGACTACTTCAGGATCAACTTCTTCGGGAGGACCATTCTCCTCCTCAATTGCAAGCTCCAATTCTTGAAGAACATCGTTCACAGTGGAAAACATAATAGGAGTGATAGTTCGTAAGGCCGAGAGATTAAACCCATGGTTAATGAGGAGACGAGTTATCAAGGATCCAAAGGGTAATGGGGCATGATATTTGAAGTCTCTAAAGGGCATCAGGGTTCCAAGGAGAAAATGAGTAAAATCAAGAGGAATGCAGGCTACTATTCGATAGAGAATCCAAATATTTAAATGTACGATCATATCCTTGAAGAGTGCTCTTGGGAAGAAGGTTCGTGGGTGGAAGTAGTGGAATACTCTTAGATTTGGTGAAAGGGTAGAAGATGGAACCATTTGAAGTGCATTAGGAGGATGGCCAGTAAGCTGGATGGCCTCATGATCTATGTCAAACTCATAGGCTTGTAGTTTAGAGTCTTGAGCTACAGTATCTACTCCTCCCAGAATGCTGAAAATGCGAGGCAACTCATAACTGGGATGGTGATCATATGCCCATACACCAGAGTTGTAATAGAAAGAGTATGGAGACCAAAGGTTATAATATTTGAATAGAATTACCTCATAGTTTCAGGACATATAAGAGTGGAGCCTCATCAAGAAGGAAGTTGACTCGCGAAAACACAACACCAAACAACGATGAAGTGTAACCGTAGGATGGAAATGAAGAACAGTGGGAAAGTTTTACTTGTCAATCCGGGGTCTAAATCTACTGCCTACTCCATAAACTTCTATTATCTAGCAACTAAAGTGTAGTGAGTTGTTCAAATGCAGATTAAACAGAAAACAATAAATGTTCTGATTTTTAAGTACGCTAAATGTCATCCAAGTATGATTCCCCCTAGTATGCAGCTAGTTCAGATTATATGTTCCCAATTTACGCTAATTGATAGATATATTGCGAAAAGTTCTTGACTAGTCTGGAATTTCGACTAAAGTAATCCAGACCCTCCCAGTTCGAATACCCGGCGGGCGACTGACCTCCACCGACATAAACTAAGCAAGGGAATAACACACCAAACTTCCTCTACTGGGATTTAATTCTAGTACCGAGCAGTGAATCGATTGAATATATCGAATCATTCATTCGCAAACGGGGTTCATACAACCATTCATAACATACAAAACTAGGATTCTTCATACTCAGATGAAAGAGGAGTTTACTCCATGGAGAGAAGAGGAAACATCAGAAATCGTCATGGGGACAATGAAAATCTGCTCCAGGCGGCTAATCGGTACTCCGAGAGTGAAGAATCGAGCTCTGAGGTCTTCAGATCACTCCAATCCTTGCCCAAGGGTTGTTCTTCATTACTTTCTCTCTCTAGGGTTTTCTTTCTGCTTTTAGAACTTAAAAATACGGATCCTTTTCAATTTGCCTGAGCTGCCCTTTTATTTGCTGGAGATCCGCGAGTTACGGCCAAAGTTGAAGCTGTAACTCCCTCTCTCAACCCGTAACTTCTTCTGAAACGTCGACGTCTTTGTGCTCCATAAACCAAGAGTTACAACTCTTATAGAGAAATTACGGTTGCGACCGTAACCTTTAGGAGGGGGGCATAACTTAAAAATGCTCCTGGAACCTCAGCCCCGCTTCTTCAGAATTACGGACCTGGAGGTAAGTTACGGGCTCATGGGGAAGTTACGATCAAGACCGTAACTTTTAAAGAATGGTTGTAACTTTTCCCTGCTCTCTGCCCGTTTGCTCCAAAATATCCCAAAACTAGCTCATTCGCACCCATTCACGTACTAGAACCGGAAACATTATAAACCAACACAACCTAGTGTAAAATAGGACACGAGAGCAAGAAAGCGAGCTCAAACGATTAAGAAATGATGGGAAAACATGTTCAAATACAGTGTTATCAGAAGTCCCAACCAAGATTGTGAAGGTAAGGCCAGATATGGATCTCGTGGTTGATTAACTCGGGCACGGGTACTGGGTGGTATGGAGTTATTTCTCGGTTGAAG